CGGGGGAGGTAGTGTCTTTGTCTGGTTTTGGTACCAGGGTAATGGTGGCCTTATAAAATGAGTTTGGGAGCTTTTTCTCCTCTTCAATTTTTTGGAATAGTTTTAGAACTATGATTATTTTTTGAGGGAAAGAGAGTTCACAGCTTTCATTGAGGCTTTCAAATGGATCTGAAACCCAAAACCAAAAAGTTGAAAAGCAGTAGGAAGCGTGAAAGCTATTTTAGAGGCTTACCATAGAAGGAAAAGGTTACACTCTGATCTTTAGGAAGGGCCTTCAAAAAGCCCAGAAGGTCATCTGCTCCCTCTTTTTGCCACAACAGCAAAGAACTTCATTTGGCCTTAGCCTTTCTTGCTGGAAGTCTACTGACATTGCTGCTGGTGGCCCTTGTCTTCTTCATCATAAAGAGCTACCGAAAATGTGAGTGGCCTCCGAGAGATGGGGCAGCAGTTCTTTCTCTGCTGTTGAGAATAGAATTAGCCTTGAATGGCTAATGGAAAGAAGGGGATAAAACCTGCTCAGCCCACCTTTTCTGCAGACCACAGATTTGAATTCCTCCACTTCTCAGCTGCCCTCCAGACCCTCCACCTTTCCCACCTGCACCACCTCCCTCCCAGCACACCCCTTCACCCAAGACCAAAGGGAGAGGCTTCTAATTCCTCCAGACCCCATTGGTGAGATTTGTCCCCTTTTTTCCTGGCACTTATGGCAGATCACTCAAGTCCCCACGCTCTGGATCCTCACTCAGATTCTCTTGCCAAGGTAAGATGACCACGCTGTTTCCATGACACTGGAGACCTGCTGCCATTGGAATTTCCCTCTATGCTCTATGGCTTATCCACTAAACAGTAGTATTGCTTTCTGGATGCTGGGCAGTGATTCTTTGAAGGGTTCTTCTGGTCTTTTTGGGTCTTCTCTGACTGAAGCTTTCAAGTTGCTTCTGAAGAGACACATTCCTCCAAATTGAACTCGCTCATTCCTCCTCCTTCTTCCTCTGTAGTTGTCATCCAACCCGGAGGAGGCACTTACCTCTGCCAGCATGGCTCTCAAAACCTCAAAAGAAAAGAGAGACGACTTGATTGCAAACCATTCTGCAGACTTGAACTCCGTTATCTATGCTCAGATTAAATTGGCAGACTCATCCTGAGTGTCCAATAAGGCTTGAATCCAGTTCCTCTCACGTCAGCTGCATCTTCATACATCGCTTTTCCTTTATAGAAAATTTGGACCACAATCTGGGTGAAACTGCAGATGGAGTTGTTTGGGTGTGATCTGGCAACCTTGGCTATCAGTTTTGTGACCAGGGTCAGTCTTATTCCTGTATCTCCCACTTGGACTAATAAAATGGAATTCCCCGGAGGACCGAGACTGCCCCCCTTCGTCCTCTTCCAAAGTGTGTGCTACAAGCTCAGTGCACCAAGAGTGTTCACTCAGTGTCACTGATCAACTTGGGAAGAGTCAACCAACCTAACAATCTAACAAGAATTACAAATAAAAGCAAACCCTCTGTGATGTTGGCTCCTTCATCATGTGTCCCTGTTACCTCCAGATATCAGGGCCAAAAGATCTCCAAGTGATGTTAAAGGAAAAGGCACACAGTTGAACACAATTCTGCATATTCTTGATTCATGTGGAAAATACCTGTGTGTGTGTGTGTGTGTGTGTGTGCACACCTGTGTTTGTATACTATATTCAGGGTATCCCAAAAAAACGTATACTCACTTCAATAGCTGATAGCTCAGTTTTGAAAATGAAATATTTTAATGAACACTGCCTTTATAATTATTCAAAGTGTGTATATGCATTTTTTGGGACATCCGATATTTAGTTTTTCCCCAGAAGGAAACACTGTTAACTGGTCTTAGTGATCACCCCTGATAACTGAGGGACTGAGGGGTGCATGGAAGGACATAGGCTTTCCCTTAAATGCCTTTTGTAACTTTTCAAAAAATATATTTGTATTGATTTCAGAGAGGAAGGGAGAGGGAGAGAGAGAGAGAGAAACATCAATGATGAGAGAGATCATTGATTGGCTGCCTCCTGCATGCCCCCCACTGGGGATCGAGTCACAACCTGGGCATGTGTCCTTAACTGGAATTGAACCCGGGACCCTTCCATCCACAGGCTGACGCTCTATCCACTGAGCCAAACCAGCCAGGACCTTTTGTAACTTTTAACATTCTTCCTTTACCTGTTGAGCATCTTCAGGGGCCTGATCCCCAGTGCTCATTTCCCCACCTGAACTCTGAACCAACTGAGAGAGAAGAGGACTCGGCAGACAGAGAACAAAGTACCATCTTTATTACAGAGTCCACACTGGAAAGGACAGCGTGTCCTGGAGCTGCAGACAGTGGGCTTCAGACCAGTGAGCCCTGTGGGGATAGAGCTGCACCGAGGCAGGTCCCTCCCACCCAAACCGGTGCCGGCTAACCCCATGAGCTTCAGGTCGCGTGCTCTTTGTAAGCTGCACCCAAAGATTAAAAAAGAAAGAGGAAGCACAGAGTAGGTACGCCCAGTTCTGCCTCCAGTTTCCCACACTGTGCCTCCAACGGGGCGTCGCTGTGGGGTGTCACCCCAATGGGGCTCAGTGCACAGGGAAGGAAGCAGGAGTGGGGAGTGGGGAGCCTCCTCCACAAACCTCTTTTAAAAATATGTCAAATAATGTTTTTAAAAATCAATGTAAGAAAATTAAAGTTCATAGAGCTGACATAATCTACCCAACGTGTGGCAGAGCAAAATGGAAACCAGATCCTCTGACTTCTGATTCCTGCATCTGGCCTGCACTGCCCGCTGCCCCAGCACGAAGAGGGGCAGAGAAACCAGACAGGTAAGGGGGCAGGCCACATGGGCAGGAGAGCGTGATTTTTCTGAGACAGAGCAGCTGCTCCTGACAGCTGGCTTTTGAGGAGACAGTGGAATTGGGGTTTGATCGAGGGAGCTGACAGGTCCAGGAGAAAGACACGTTAGGGATGCAGGCTTGAGAAGAGGCCTGTGCACAGCAGAGCAGGCAGCCCCACGAGGGCAGCAGAGCGCCACCAGTTCTCCCCCCACAAGGAGGCCTCATTCACTTCCTTTACTTTTTTTAAAGATTAACTTTTTACTTCTCTTTTTAAAAAAATATTTTTATTAATTTCAGAGAGGAAGGGAGGGAGGGAGAGAGGGAGGGAGGGAGGGAGGGAGAGAGAGAGAGAGAGAAACACCAATAATGAGAGAGAATCATTGAATGGCTTCCTCCTGCACGCTGGGATCAAGCCCACAATCGGGGCATGTGCCCTGACCGGGAATCGAACCATGACCTCCTGGCTCATGGGTTGACGCTCAGCCACTGAGCCACACCACCACTGAGCCACGCCGGCTGGGCCTCATTCATTTTCAAAGGTTCCCAAATGCTAGGAGGACATCAAACAATTCTACCCGCCCCGAAGCTAGAAGCCACATCAGCTTCTCGGTTCAGAGCCAGTTCCTTAGCCACGTGTATGTGAAATATCAGATTCATTGTTTTCCCTCTGTTTTCATGAAGCTTCCCATTTTTAACAGCAGAGCTCTGTTTTCAAAGTCTTGTGGGGTTTTTTTTTTGTCTCCCTGTCATGAAGAGTGATGTGCAACTAGCCTTGCTGGAGAGTGAGATGAGTGAGTGAATAACTGACTGTTGATTGGGAATCTTTGCAGGTGAAGGAAGAAACGAGGCCCTGGATTATGGAAGCAGATAAGCCTGTAGGGCCCTCAGGGAGGTAAGTGTAACTCTCCCAAGACATCTAGAGTGGCTTCGTCTTTCGTGGAAGGTGGTTGTCTGCTCTCTTGCCTGCTGTCGTAGGCAGTCCTCACTGAGCCCAGACTGGATTGCTGTTTGTAGTGGCTCCTCTAGTGAGTTCGGTGCATGGCCACAGGGGAGGGATCGGGGCTGGTTTGTGGCTGAGGGATAAGACAGTACTTTGATGTTGGATCTGAGAATCTGGAAGGAAGGGGGACTGGCTGTATGGAAACAGGGAATATGCAGGAATGGGGTGACATCCACACGCCTCCCCTTTTCTTCAGGCTGTTGACTGGCTTTGAGTTCCCTCCCTGTGGAGAGAGGGTTTCTTTCGGATGATGATGAAGGAACTGTGTTCATGGAGGACTTTGGAGAGCCTGGACCTGAAGGTGCAGGGTGTGTGCAGAATCGAGCCAACCTCCCTGTCCTAGCCCTGCTCAGGCCAAAGGGCCACTTGAGGATCCTGAGCACTGAGACTGGCCAGCACCCTATTGGAAGAGACCAGAAGAGCAGGGTTTTTATGAGGACAGCAGAAGCAGTATGGGGAGACCCTGGGAACTCCCTGAAATAGCAGGAGAGACACTACATGGGGAGAGAGGGTGCAGACACGCAGGTGGGAGCTAAAAGAGGTGGGTGCAGACATGCTGGTGGGAGCTAATTTGGTAATTCGGGTGTTAATGACAATATAACCTCACTTGCACCTACAGTGGCTGATGCCTCTGCCTTGACTTGTGTTCCTGATTTGAATGAATATCTCATTTAAGCTTTTGCATTTTGGTTTCTCATTGACCAAAACCAGCATCCATTCAGTCTTCAAAGAGCAGTTTCCCGTACAGTCTTTCACCAAGACTGAAAACCAAGGATCTAGCCTATCTCTCTCCCTTTCTTTGGGTAGGACAGCACATAATATTCATTCAGGAATTAATTGGAATATTATACTTTAAAAGAAACTTCCAGAAATATTTTTCCCGTGACACCCCAGGAGAAGTCATACTTTGGAGTTCAGTCAACACTGGTTTGAAATTTATTGGCTCACAGATAAAATACAAGTGATCTCCTGGGCCCCTGACTGAGGTTCTGCCCCTCCTCTTCGCTTCCAGCCGGCTCAATGCATGAGAACCAAGATCTTGAGGTGTTCTCTGACTAGCCTTGCGCAGGCGTGGCCACTGTTCTTACCTAGCTGTAGATGTGGCTGGTTGTCATGGTGATTCTATTGGAGCATCACTTTGCTTATGAGCTAAATAAATCTTAAGTCACATCTGTCCAGTTTGAGCCAGTTCCTTTGAAGTCTGGACACACGAGGTGGGGCTTCAAAGAGTAGTTTACTTTGTTGGAAACAAAAGGAGAAATGGAGTTGAGATCTACTGCCTACCCAGGCCGAGTGTTTCTTCAGCCAAAGTTACCAACTCTCTCATGAGGGCTTCCTGGGGACTGAACAGCACAGTTTGTTTTCAGGGCTGAAATCAGCTGGTTATTACTTGGAAAGGAAAGGTCCACATAGCCTGCCCTGCATGGAGCTCCTGCTCTCTGGTTAGGAACGGGGAGCCCTAAAGATTGGGTAGTTGAGGGGCACAGAGCTCAGGCAGAAGAGCCAAGGAGGGAACCTACCAGAGGTGTGGCGAACGCAGAAGCAGCTTGCCTGGTTTTCTGGCTTCGAGTTAGGCCTTTACCTGTAATCGCCGGAAGGCAGAAGGCTTCAAGGCCACGCCTCTCATGACCCCGGTCTAGGGTTGAGGCTGGTGGGCCCATCCTCTTCCACTCCTGACCCTTCTCAAGGTGACCTTTCTATGCCCCCTCACCTGGGGGCCCCCTTTGACAGGAGGCATGGCTTCTAGTCCCTCCAGGGGGAACAAAACGTTTCAATCAAGGAGTAAGGCTGCCTCCCAAAGCTTGTGTGCTGGGCAGGCGAGTGGCCGCCCAGTCCTGGAAGCTGTGCTGTGGTTGTCTCAGGGCCTCCCTCCTCCCTGGTCCACACACACCTCCGCTTACGAGGGGGACAGTGCTGTCTCTGTCACATCTCATGGTGCCTTTGTCACCGGGAAGCAGAACCTCCCTGAGCCCCTGGCTGTCTGCATTGGCTTCCAGGGGTCCAGGCAGTAAGAGGAGGTCACATTTACCCATTTGAAAGCTGCTTCTTAATCCCGTTTATTTTCCCTACACTGCCCCCCCCCCC